GTAGTTTATATTGAAGTTTTTGGAGTGGGGAGCTACTCATTTTCCGGTGTGGGACAAGATAGAATAGGAAATAAGCCAAATTCTGAAAAACAAAGCTTTAACACATGACCGGGAATCAAACCCAAGCCATTTCACCAAGGATAAACGTCTCTTGACCAAGTGGGCTACGCGTCAAGTATGTGCGATACATACTCGGTTAACTATTATACTTTATTTAACGTCATTAATTATTATTATTATTATAAATAAGTATTATTATTATTAATATAAAAATGTCGACTCGGTTCGGTCCGAACCGATATTTTTGTGCACATAAACTGAACCCGAACCGATTTTTTTTCGAGTCCTGATTATTGGGTCCCAATTTCATTCAGTTCGGTCCGGTTCGGTTTTTTTCTAAAGCGGTTCGATTATTTTCGGTTCGATTTTCGGTTTTTCGGTTCAAAATACTAGCCCTACTAATAAGAGTACTAAAGATGTTTTTAATTTGATATTAAATTTCTAAATTTAAACATATCTGGATTCTTTATAGAGTTATTTGAAACTATTATCTTTTTTATCTTTTGAAAAGTGAGAAATAATATTTTGAGCATTCAATTCTTTGTAATACACATATGGTGTAATTATGAGTAATAAAAAGCCAATATAAATTACCTAACGTACATCTTTCAAAAAAAATTACCTAAGGTACATGATATGTATTTCAAAGAGATTTTGCCACTTTCGGTCCCCAGAATATTATGTAGGTGACATTTTTGGTACTTGACTAAAAGTGACAAAATTTTCGGAGACAAGTAGCAAAAAGGGAAAATCAAAGTCAAGTATCAAAAGTGTCAGTGACATAATAGTCGAAGGATTAAAAGTGACAAAATCTCTATTCCAAATGTAAATAAGTATTGCATTATTTAATTTCTTATTTTAATACTCCCTCAGTCCCAAATTGTAAGATACATTTACTATTCACTTGGTCAACATAAATCACTCTTAATCTTTTACTTTATATATCAAAAGTTTATGAATTTTGAATTATTTTTTGCAGGTTTTGTAGCGGTTTTAATGTAGTTTCCAAATATGTAAATTTTATTTTCTAAAACTAATTTGAGAGTCTTTCTATCATCAAGTAAATAGATCATCATAGCACAACCAAGAAGAGTTGTGAATATCTTTGAGAGATATGTGAGGTGTTTTTGAGAGTTTTTAGTTAGAGCTTGTATGTCTCTTCTTTCTATTCTTGAAAGTAATAGGTGTTTCTCTCTCATATTAGCATGATCCTGTTATTTCCAACAAGTGGTATCAGAGCCTAGTTGAGCTTTTGGTATTTTTCCCCAGAATTTTCAGATAAAATTCTACTGTCTGAAAATTCGAGTTTTTCAGTTTTGCTCGGAATTGCAATCTGAATATACCGTAGGATTTGTCTCGTTGACAGGAGAAAATTGGTATTTTTGGGGAATTTTTTGGCCACCGGAAGACACCACACGCGCCACCTACGCGCCGGTGGTGAGGAGCTCGCTGACATCATTGCCGACGTCATCCAGCACACAGTCCAGAGGTTGAAGACGACTGATGTCATTGCTGACGTCATCAGCCAGTCAGAGTTGCGTCAGCGACACGTCACCGCCACGAGTGCAGTCCCAGCACACTCATCCGCCACGTCATCGGCTCACTGCCATCTTCCACCAGCGTCGAGTCAGCTGCCACGTCAACGCCCAATCAGCGCCACGAAAGCCTCGGATGGAAGATTTCCTTAGCTGTAAAGAGCTTTTTTATCCAATAGAGATGAAAGGTATTAATCCTAACTCACTCAAGTCAATAGAGTGAAAGAAAATTAATAGAAAAACTATTGGTAAAATCCGACAATGGATTGACCATAGTGTCTTCCACCATGTTGCACAAGAAAGCGACGCTTATGCCCTTTGGAAGAAGTTAGAAGATATGTATCAGTCCAACACCGCTACGAACAAGGCTCTACTGATGAGGCGCCTTGTCAATATGAAGCTCAAAAGTGGAACTTCTGTTGCAGAACATACTAGTCAATTTCAGAGTCTTGTAAATCAACTATCTTGTGTATAAATGCCACTTGGAGATGAAATGCAATCTCTGCTACTTCTTAGTTCCCTTCCTGATAGTTGGGAGACACTAGTTGTTACTTTCAGCAACTCAGTCCCAGATGGCAAACTTACCATGTTTGTGGTCAAGGATGCGTTGTTCAATGAGGAGGCAAGAAGGAAAGACATGAGCATAGATTAGACTCAAGCCCTTGTGATGGAGAATCGAGGAAGACCACAAGGAAAGCAACAAACAAACAGTAGAGGAAAGTGGCAAAGCAGAGGCAAAAGTCGGGGGAGATCATCAAACCTTCTTATACCTGCCACCATTGCGGTATAGAGGGTCACATGAAGAAGAATTGCTACACATTGCTAGAGGAGCGAGGGAAGAACAATTCACAAACGAAGAACAAAGGTGGTGAAGCGCTCATCACAATCTCAGGTGATATAACGTACTATATTACCAATGATGAAACATGTTTGCACGTCTGAACAGAGGACACTGAATGGGTGGTAGATACTGCTGCATCTTACCATGTTACTCCCCACATGTACTAATTCACAACTTACAAAGCTGGAGACTTTGGAGCGGTGAAGAAGGGTAATTCTAGTTCATCTGCAATAGCTGAATTGGTGATGTACAAATAAAGACAAGTAATGGGAGCACAGTCACTTTGAAGGACGTCAGACATGTTCCAGACCTTCGGCTCAATCTCTTGTCAGTGGTATGTCTTGACGAACATGGGTATGAAAACCACTTTAGCAGGGGCATTGCACTGGGTCCTTGCAGTCATTGTCTATTTGGTATGCAACATAGAGTATCATTTAGTTCTACTTCAGCTAAAAGATCGGAATTGTTAAGTTTGGTACACTACGATGTATGTGGTCTTTTGGAGGTGGAATCACTCAGTGGAAGCAGATATTTTCTGACTTCTATCGATGATGCTTCTCAGAAAGTGTGGGTGTATTTCCGGATAACAAAAGATCAAGTGTTCGAGTGCTTCAAGACATTTCACGTCTTGGTGGAACGTGAAACAAGAAAGAAGCTGAAATGTCTCCGATCTAATAATGGAGGCGAGTATACTTCCATGGCATTTGATGCATATTGTAGAACATATGCCATTCGACATGAGAAGTCAGTACCACGCACCCCTCAGCACAACGACATTGCTGAAAGAATGAATCGGACTATCATGGAGCGAGCCCGGAGCATGCCGAATATGGCTAAACTTCCAAAGTCATTTTGGGGAGAAGCAGTCAACATCGCATGCTATCTTATCAACCGATCACCTTCAGTACCACTCAACTTTGAAGTTCCAAAGAGGCTATGGACAGATAAGGATCCTACATACTCACATCTTAGAGTATTTGTTTGTTCATTGTATGCACATGTATCCAAAGAGCTCAGACAGAAGCTTGATGCAAGAACTATCCCATGCATTTTTGTTGGCTATGGAAATGAAGAGTTTGGATAGATGTTATGGGATCCTAAGGAGAAAAAGGTGTTCAGAAGCAGGGACGTTGTGTTCCACGAAGATTTGACAATAGAAGACATTGAAAAATCCACAATGTCTCGGAAATCAAATGAGGTTGCTCAAGTTTCAAATGAAGCACCTGAACTATTCTTGAGAAACAATGACGAAGTGCATGAAAATAACTCAGAAGCAGAAGAGGATGATGAGACAGAAGAGAGTGCAGAGCAAGTGGAGTCACAACTCACTTCGCCGGGTATAGATGATGGTAGCTTTTCTTAGATGGTTCCAACTGTTCGTAGATCTGAACGAGGCCATATACCATCGAAAAGGTACACATCATCTAAATATCTTTTGTTAACAGAAGATGGAGAACCAGAGAGTTTTCAAGAAGTTGTGTCTCATAAGGATAAAGAAAAATGGCTAATAGCAATGCAGGATGAGTTAGAATCTCTGGAGAAAAATGAAACTTATGAGATCGTAGAACTTCCTTAAGGGAAGAAGGCATTGAGAAACAAATGGGTGTTCAAGTTGAAGAAGGATGCAAGCGGACAAGTGGTGAAACACAAAGCTCGGTTGGTTGTCAAAGGATTCCAACAGAAGAAAGGAATTGACTTTGATGAGATATTTGCACCAGTTGTCAAGATGACCTCAATCCGAGTTATACTTGGCTTGGCAGCAAGTATGAACTTGGAACTTGAACAGATGGATGTGAAGACAGAATTTCTTCATGGAGATTTGAAAGGAGAAATCTATGTGCAACAGCGAGAAGGTTTTGAGAACTCAAATGATAACTTTGTGTGTAAGTTATCTAAAACGTTGTATGGCTTGAAGCATGCACCAAGGCAGTGGAATAAGAAGTTTGACTCATGCATTAAGAGTCAAGGCTACAAGAAGACTACTGCAGATGACTGTGTATACATCAAGAAACTTCCAGATGGTACCTTCATTGCTCTTCTACTATATGTAGACGACATGTTAATCGTTGGGAAAGATGTTGTGAAGATAAACCAACTGAAGAAAAACTCTCTAAGTCTTTTGATATGAAAGACTTTGGACCAGCTCAACAGATTCTTGGTATGCAGATCACTCGAGATAGGAAGAATCGCATGTTATGGCTATCTCAGGAGAAGTACATTGAACGAGTACTTGAGAGATTCAACATGAATGATGCCAAACTAGTTTGTGTTCCACATGCGAATCACTTCAAGTTGAGCAAAAGAACATGTCCCACATCCAAGGAAGAGATTGGGGAGATGTCAGTAGTTCCAAATTCTTCAGCAGTTGGAAGTTTGATGTACGCCATGGTATACACAAGGCCAGACATTGCACAAGCAGTGAGTACAGTGAGTCGTTTTGTAATACCCACCCCGCCTGATCTAGCCGGTTCGGGACAGATGTCACTGCCGTTTGTTCTTTAAAAAAAACGCTAATTCTTTATAACTAATTTAGAAAATATTTTCCATAGAAAATATTAAATAAGGTTGATTTAATTTGCGTTCAGTGGCAAACCAAAGAAAAGGATAACTATACATAGCAACTTAAAATAAAACTCCAATTATTACATTAGCCTGATGAATCTTTAAAACGGTATTGGTTGTTCCAACTTATTTTAAACATGACACTGAAATAAAACACATGCAACAGTCCTATCCAGATGTCTCATTATCCTGGGCTCCAACTTGCTTATCGTATTCACCTACGTGTAGAAAGAATAAACTATAATATAACATGTGTGTAACATATAAATTCATATTTGTTACTTGAACAATTGACAAGAAGTAAATCAAATCATTAACGTTAAAATATACATTATATTACATATATTGCAGTATTTCACATTGTCACCATAAAAATCAAATTTAATGATTATTTCCTTCTAACATAAATTATTCATGCTTACAAATTTGTTACCGACTAAGTGTGTAAAATAAATCATAAGAAATTAGTCAGATTAGTCAAAACTTTATATTCAAAAATACCTATAAGGATTTATATAATCCGACTTCAAACTTCTTTTTAGTTCAGATCATTTCATAACTTGTACATCTTTCAAACCAGGTTTAAGTGATTAATTTCACTTAAAAATAATCAGAGACATATATCCCTTAAGGGAAATAACCATATATACTTCTTGTTCAAATTCATAAACGAAGGAAACAACTTTATGAATACTTAATACTTTACTCATATAATTTCAGTCTTTACTCTTAGGACCAGACTCTAGTTAAGGATACAGATAAAGTAATTTCGAACAAAGTTCTAGTTACTTTATCCCTCAGATAACAGAGATCTTCAGATCACAGGGATCATCAGATAAAAGAGACTTCAGATTCAGACATTTCAGATTCAGGGGACCCTGGCCTGGGCCGTATGCTAGCACACCAGAGGAGTCGTAGTCGGAAAAACCAACTCGTACCCAAAACTTTAAACAGAGGTACCCAAAACTAGATCTCAAATCCTAGGGTAAGGCTCTTTAGTAAGAGAATTCTTAAATTCGTGTAAACATTTTCTCAAATACTTAACATTCAAAATATATACCTTTTACACGTATGTAAAATTTATGAGACAACTTGAGTGTTTTTATTGTTATCCGTGGCATATATATATACATATATATATATATATATATATATATATATATATATATATATACACATAGACTATATACTCATTCTTTTGGAACAGATATATTTTGTAAAGCACATTAATCTGTTTTGATCATTTTGTAATTATAGTCTTTTATGCATGTATACTTTCATGTAGTGGTAGAAATACTAATTAGATGCTTTAAAGCACCATCTCTTAAAGTAAAATTATATTATCGATTGAAATTAGTATTCAATATAACGAAATATTTCTATCTTTGATTAATTGAGAATATGTTTCTAATAAAAAGCCATACTCTAGTACTAACACATTAATTAGTGTTTATCAACAGTAAATACGTACTCTCATCTTTAACTGATTGTAAATGTAGCATCAAGAAAAAGTATAATCGTGCATTATTTTTATTCATAACAACGGAATGGTTTAATTATTGAAAAATGGTATTCGATAATATAATACAAAAGTACTAACATTACTTTAATTAACTGAATTTGAAATTCATATAAAAGCATATATTATACTGCTTACATCTTTTCTTTTAATAACAAAAATAATGGCACTTTTAGTACTGACCTTGTCGATACACCCCAAATACATAAACTGCTCTTCTTTTCTTTCGCTACCCTTCTTCCCCTTTATTTTTCTTATGCGCGTTTCTTTATTTCTATTACATTCTCGGTTTCTCGTTTTATAAATTCTCCCATATACCCTAAGTCCCTCACTATTATCTCTAGTCAAGTTTAGTGGCATTATACTAACTTTGAGAAGGATTGTGTGTCATGCTACGTGCCTCTAATCTTTTCTCAGAATTTATCAGCATGTATAGCTACATGGCAATTGGGTTGTTGCTATATACTTAGGCCAGCCACATACATATTCTTTGAATGAATAGTGAAACCCACTTAGTTGACCTCTTTTTGTTTTTGTTAGTTTTTGATGAATACTAGTATACTACACTACTTTTAATCTATCATACTAATAAATATTGGCTCATTGCTAGATCCTAACGAGACCTATATGCATGTTTAGTTTCTTTTTGTGAGTTGGACAAGTGTCCTAGCTAGCAACATATTTGGCATGCAAATTTGCTTAATAGTTACTGAAAAAGCAATTTGTCTTATAATGCCTTCTACATAAATCATTTTGTAATCTTAATTATTTAACTTTTTACATTTTACTTTTATATTAGTGTGAAAAGAATTATCCACCACTTATTCTTTTAAATTTATTCTTTCTTATAATGGCGGTTATCACTTTTATTTAAGTAAATCAAGTAATTATATTAGCTACTAATAACAACTTATATTATTATTATTATTATTTTTATTAATAAAAAAAAATGGAATTCAATAAAACTGACCTCGTATATTATTCTCCGTAGTACTAATTAACGGTATTATCAATCAATTACTTAAAGTGGAATCAACATAAAAGTATATATATCATAATACCAACATATTTTCTTTGAATTGATTAACAGAGATAATGATACTTACTAGATGTCGTATTATAATACTGACCTTAAAATGAGAGGCTTTTACTTGATTTAAGGCGAGCTAAGCTTCATTCTCTCAGGTTTGAGCAAAAGACCATCCTATGGCTGCATAAGCTATCCCGTTCCTTTCCCCAAAACTCTATGTGTTCCTTAGGTATATAAAATAGATCTACGCGGTGAGCCAGCTTGTTTGGTTCGCTGCATGGTTGGAAGGTGTACAAGAGGTGGGGAATTCTCCATGCAGGTTACGTTTTTAAACAAATGGTGAAACTAATTTGCATGGTCAATATGTCTTCAAGTGAAATTCATGTGTTCAAGACACTCATTCTACGACATGTGTGCTTGGAGACCTTTCTACGTGGAGGAAGCTGCAGGTTTTTTTTATGTTTGGCTAGAATATATCTTTAGTGGGGATGGGTCCCACATGCTCTAGATTTAGGCTATTTAGCAATTGAGATTAAAGTATATACGTATATATGTTGTGCTTAGCTATTTAAAGTATTGGTTGACACTACCTCTAACAATTTGTTAGTATTTGTTAATTTGTTAACATACTTAATTCGTTATAAATTTTAATTTTCTTTTAACTATTCAAAATACTCCTAAAATAAATCCGTAAACAATTGACCCGATTTTGAGGTGTTACATTTCTTCCCCCTTAAGAAAATTTCGTCTCGAAATTTACCTGAAGTTGTGTTGTGGAATAGGTGGGGATACTGGGCAAGCATCATTTCTTGAGTTTACCAAGTGGCTTCTTCAGAGGCATGATTTTTCCAAAGAACTTTAACTAGGGGAACCATTTTATTTCTCAAAACTTTTACATCTTGAGCTAAGATTTTAATTGGGTCTTCTTCATAAGTTAAATCCTTGTCAACTTTCACGGTTCCAGGTGTCAGTACATGTGAAGGATCAGAACGGTATCTTCTCAGCATGGATACATGAAACACATCATGTATTTGGCTCAACTCCGAGGGTAACACTAGTCTATAGGCTACTGGACCAATACGCTCAATTACTTTGTAAAGCCCAATAAACCTTGGACTTAACTTTCCCTTTTTACCAAACCGTAAAACTTTCCTCCATGGTGATACTTTTAAGAATACATGTTCACCTACTGCATATTCTAGTTCTCGCCTCTTTAAGTCAGCATATGATTTCTTCCTATCTGATGCAGCTTTAAGTCTGTCTTGGATCAACCTCACCTTTTCTTCCGTCTCGAGAACTAAGTCGGGCCCAAGTATCTTCTTTTCACTCAACTCTGTCCAACATATTGGAGTTCTACATTTCCTACCATACAAAGCTTCATATGGTGCCATTTTGATGCTAACCTGATAACTGTTGTTATAGGCAAACTCCATCAGTGGCACATATTTTTCCCAACTTCCTTCAAAATCTATTATGCATCCCCTCATCATGTCTTCAAGAATTTGTATAACTCTCTCAGATTGACCGCCTGTTTGTGGATGAAAAGCGGTACTAAAGTGAAGTTTGGATCCAAGTGCTGTTTGCAAACTGCCCCAGAATTTGGATGTAAACCGAGGATCTCTATCAGATACGATAGATCATGGAATTCCGTGTAATCTAACAATCTCTTGAATATACAACTCGGCTAACTTATGAAGTGGGAAGTCCTTCTTGATGGGCAAAAAGTGGGCTGATTTGGTGAGACGATCGACTATAACCCACACGGCGTCATTTTTCTTTGGAGTTAAAGGTAAGCCTGTCACAAAATCCATTGTGATGCACTCCCATTTCCATTGTGGTATTGTGATTGGCTGAAGCAGCCCGACTGGAACTTGATGTTCAGCTTTGACTTGCTGACATGTTAGACATCGTGTCGTATACTCTGTTATCTCCCTCTTCATCCCTGACCACCAATATTCTCTTCGCAGATCTTGGTACATTTTACTTCTACCTGGATGCATGGAGTACTTGGCTTCGTGTGCTTCACGAAGGACTCTTTGTCTTAGATCACCTTGTGGTACCACCAGTCTATTATGATGGTATAAACCCCCGTTGGATCGAACAATGAATTCAGGAGTCTCTCCCTTAGATATCTTCTTTAGTAATTTGGCACACTCTGTGTCACCATCTTGTGCTCTAATGATCTCTCCTTCTAGAGTAGGTCGAATATGTAGCTCTGTTAAAGATGATTTTCTACTTAGAGCATCAGCAACAACATTAGCCTTCCCGGAGTGGTAGTCAATAAGGCAGTCATAATCTTTTATCAACTCAAGCCATCTCCTCTGCCTCAAGTTCAATTTGTTAGAATGTAAACTTGATTTTGAGCTAAGTTAATAATTGATGTTTGTTGTTATGGGCAAAGCCCAAAATAATAGGAGTGTTCTAGACAGAAATGTTCTAGAAAGTTTCTAGAGTGTGAGACTTCTAGAGTCATTCTAGAGAATAATTAATAATAGAGTATTCTAGATAAGGAGAATTCTAGAGAACTCTCCACCATTTATTGTGGATGTGAGTAGTATAAATAGGTGTAGTTGTGCTCATTTGTAATCAAGCATCAAGCTAAGAAATCTTCAAGCAATAAAATACAAGTTCTCTCTTCTTCCATCCTCTCTTCTAGTTAGCTAAAAGCT